AACTCCTTGCACATTTCATTGTAATATTTTACTTTGTCATCCTGTGCTGCCTTTTGAAATCTTCTATTCAACTCTTTAGTATCTTGAATTCTTCCTTGTGCTTTGGCTTCTCTGCGCTCCAGTGCTTTTGGTAGGGTTGTAATTTTCATAATACTGAGTTTTCCTATCAATGAACAGGGCACATGTTTCTATTTCTTTGGGTCTTTTATTGTGTCTTGCAGAAATGGTCTGTAGGTTTCTTTGTATAGGTCTTTTGTATTCTAGTTAGGTTCATGATAGATGGTGAAGAGACTGAGATTGTTAACAGCTTCTGTTTGCTTGGCTCTACAATCAACACTCTTGGTACCAGCAGCCAGGAATTTAAAAGATGAATTGCATTGGGAAAGCCTGCTGTCAGAGACCTCTCCAAAATACTGGAGAGCAATGATGTTAGTCTGGAGACTGAGGTACGCCTGATACAGACCATGGTCTTCGCAATTACTTGCTATGCATCAGAAAGCTGGACAATGACAGGGATGATAGAAGGAGAATTGATGCCTTTGAGCTGTGGTGCTGGAGAAGAGTATTGAATATACCATGGACTGCTAGGAGAACAAAAATATTTGTCCTGGAGAGAGTGAAGCCAGGCTGCTCCTTGGAGGCAAGGATTCTGAAGCTTTGTCTGACATACTCTGAACATGTTGCAAGGCGAGATCAGTCCTTGGAAAGGAATGTCATGCTTGAGAGGGTAGAAGGACAGCGCAGGAGAGGGAGACACTCAATGAGATGGACTGATTCAGTGACTGGGGTAATTGGGGTAGGTGTATCAGAGACAGTAAGATTGGCACAGGATAGAGTAAGATTTAATGCTGTTGGACATACGGTTGCTATGGGTCGCAAGTGACTCGATGGCACATAACAACAAACAACAACAACACTGTAAATGGTGTTGTTTTCTTGATTTCCTTCTCTGAGTTGTCTTTGTTACTGTAGAGGAATCCCATTGATTTTTGGATATTGACCTTATATACTGCCACTGTACTAAACTGGTCTACTAGATTGAAGCAAAACACTTCTGAAAAGCAAAAATGAAGTCGGAAGCATAGAGCTCCTGACCTCAAAACCTACTACACAGTGTTAGGAACCAAAACAGCATGGTGCTGGTACAATGACAGGCACATATAGACCAATGGGACAGAATTGAGAATCCAACAATAGACTCAGCTATCTATGGTCAACTGATATTTGACAAGGAAATAAAACCTATCAAATGGGGCTATGACAACCTCTTCAGCAAATGGTACCAGCATAAGTGGACTGCTTCCTGCAGAAAGCTGAAAAAGGATCCACATCTCATAACATACACAAAAATCAACTCAAGGTGGATCAGAGACCTAGAAGTAAAGCCCTAAACCATAAAGTTCATCAGAGACAAACTGGGATCAAGCTTAGATAGGCTAGTCTATGGTATAAAGAGACTTCAAAATACAGCCAGAAATGCACAATCTGGAGAGGATAAAATTAATGAATGGGACCTTTTGAAGATTAAGTATCTGTGCACATAAAAAACATTTTCTAATGTGAAAAGAAAACCCACTGTCTGGGTAAAAACAGTTGGCAATACCATTTCAGGTAAGGGTCTCATATAAAAAACTTACAGAATCGTAAAGACCTCCACAAGACCACACAATTACAAAATTGGCAAAAGATATGGAAAGAATTTTCACAGAGGAAGATATTCGATGGCCAAGAGACACATGAAGAAATGTTCAAAATCACTGGCAATAAGAGAGATGCAAATCAAAACCACAATGAGAGCAGTGGCAAAGTTTAACAGAACAGCAAGTAATAAACGTTGGAGAGAATGTGGCGAGAACGGAACTTTTACACATTGTTGGTGGTATTGTAAAATGGTACAACCACTCTGGAAGGCAGTTTGGTGCTTCTTCAAAAAGCTGAACATAAAAATTCCATAGGTCCCTGCTATTCCACTGCTTAGAATATACTCCAAGAGAATGAGAACTGAGGCACAAATGGAGACTTGTACACCAATGTTCATAGCATCATTATTTACTAGCCCAAGAACACGGAAACAGCCCAAAATGTCCAAGCACAATAGAATGGATTGAGAAATTATGGTACATTCACACAATGAGATGCTACGCAGCATGCAGAAGAAATAATTTTGTAAATTATTACCTAACTTGGGAGGAACTGGAGAGCATTATGCTAAGTGAACTAACTCAGTCCTGTAAGGACAAATACTGTATAAAACCATTACTGTAAAATGAGTATGAGGAACCAAGGAGGGGTAGGGTGGGAGCAGAGGGGTGAGGAGGGGAGGAGGTGGGGGTAATCATAGGGTTGCACAATTTGATGGGGGTGTGTGTGAAGGAAATGGGAAAGAACTGGTGTGAAAAACAATGTATATGAACTTTATAAATAAACCAGTATAAAAGAAATTTTTTTATATTTTTTTTTTTTACATTTTATTATTTTTTTGTGTGTGTACCATCAAGTTGGATCTGACTGGTACAGGATAAGACTGCCCCTCCTGCTCCAGAAGAGTGTCTGGTGGATTCGAACTGCCTATCTCTGGGACTGCAGTACATCCACTAGGCCACCATAGCTCCCTAAAATAAATTTTTTAAAAAATTGGTCTATGATGTGTTCAAAGGAATTTTTTCCCGTTTCTTCTCTTTCTCTAAGTAGATCAAGAGTAAAGTCTGCCTTGATGCATCAAGGCCCTCAAATCCAAAGTGTTCATTTTTAACATGATGAATGATGTCACAGCTGACGAAGGAAACTGTGATGGTTAACAGTCACTGCTCAGTGGAGTCTTATCTGCCACATCTTAATTAGGCCCCTGGTCTAACATCCATACCAATTCTCCCTGTCTTATCTGCCTCTATTACAAAGACTGGAAAGTCAAGCCCTACCTGATTCTGGCCAGCATTTCAGTGATATTAACTGAGATTTCTTGGAAATTGTGCTTTCCTAATATAGATCTGGCTCCCTTTCTCCTTGGTGCTGTCTCTTCCTTGTGCTGGAAGCCGGAGTGAGAGAGTGGCTATCTTATGATGACGAGCTGAGGGACACTTACCAAGGTAGCCAACAGGGCACATGCTGGCCCTGCGAACTGTTCACCTCCAGAACTCTCACTAACAGATAACAAAACTATGAGATTTGTTCAACCACTATTTTTTCAAGCTTCTGATACTTACGCTTACACCATTCATAAAGGGTAATAAAACTCACCAAGGAAGGGACAGGGGACCACTGTAAACAAGCAGAAAAGGAGAACAAAAGAAATGCTATCATTTAACATTCCGTCAATAATGCACCCTTAGTAAGCACGTGTGTGCTGTCAAGTTGATTCTGACTTGGAGGAACTCTATGTGACAGAGTAGAGCTGCCCGAACAAGTTTACAAGGCTGCTTTTCTGCCAGGGAGTAGGTGGAGGGCTCGACTCCCAACCTTTGGTGAGCAACCCAATGCTTAAAAATTGCACCAGTGGAAACAACCCAAGTTTCCATCAACAAACGAATGGATAGAGAAGCTGCGGTATAGTCACACAATGGAATACTATTCAGCATTGAAAAACAAGTAACTCATGAAATATTATGCAAAATGGGTGACCCTGTAGGACATTATGCTGAGTGAAGGATCTCAGTCACAAAGAAACACATATTGCATAGTGCCACTGTTGTAAAACGGGACTGACATCAGGGTTGAGGGAAGACAGAAAAGGAGGGGAGGAATGATGAATATTGTATTGAAACACATGAGGGAGAGAGCTGTTTAAAGGGGATATATGAATGTATATTCTTGTCATTATAGAAGTCCAGAGTGAAGGCTGCACGGTGGAGTGGACTTGGGGGGAGGGACTGCATAACAATGAAAGAGTTTTTCTTTTTCTTTTCAAGAAGAGTGATTTGGGGCGGGGGAGGGAGTGGGCAGAGAGAAAATTGCAACAATGAGTGACGGGAAACCTTAAGTCTCTGTAAACTTTCATGAAATTTAATAGAAAAATAATTACACCACTATCTGCAGGACAGATCTACAATGTCCAGAAAGATCCTGACATCTCTCTAAATCATCCAAGTTTAAGTGATGTTTACTACAGCCCTACAGTGATTCCTTGAATCTATGTGTTCCACACTTGCTACTGGGGTACTTGTAGTAAGATATTTCTTTTCATCTTAGGATGTACTTCCTCTGACAGGCTGAGTTTCTCAGGAAGCAGACTCTGAGTCAGAGGTGAGCATGCAGGATGTGTATTAGAGTGCTCCTGGGGTTAACAGGAGGAAGGAAGCAGGGAGATGCCATGATGCATTCTCAGCAGGCACCACGACGGGGCTCTTCCATCCATCATAACCCGGCACTGGCTGCGCCTTGAAAAGCGCATCACCTCAGGTGAGGGAGCTTCTTCAGTGAGGCTGAACCCCCTCCCCAGGGGATGTCTTCTGGAAGCACCCAGCAGCTGGAACATGATCTTCATCTCTAAATGGAGAGCTGGGCGGTGCACAGAATGCTGACCTCCCTGCACTCTGGGATGACTCATTGTTAAAAATATAAACTCTTACTTTACTAGTCACTTGAGAGTTAACGCTTCAGTTAACAGATCAATTTTCCAGACTTACTGATGGTGGTGAACACGCTGGTGAAGCAGAAGTAGTCCACAGCATTGAGGGAGAGCAGATGGTAAAGAAACTGCTCTCTTTCTTCTTCACAACGTAGAAATGCGTATCGCTTATAAAGCTTCCTAGGAAAGAATAAGAGAAGTGTAATTTTTTAATCTAATCTCTGACTATTTTGCAATAGTAACCTGAGTTTCTATCTCAGTTCCAGCTCACAGACCTTCCATCTACCCATGTCTGTCAGGCTCACGGGTGAAGCAGCTAGCTCTCCAGAAGGCTTTTTCCTGGCCCTATCTCCACAGCTGCAGCCATCACTACAGTTCTTTATGCTAAAAAGGTGCCTAAGTTAGATTTTGAGGGAGCCCCTGGAGAGCTCCAGCAATAGGAGGTGGGGGGGAGACTATTGCTGCTGCTTCCCTCTTCTCAAGCCCCCTGGAAGGACCAAGCCCCAGAGTGGGAAGAGTTGGGGTCAGGGTCGGGGAGGGGCGGGATGATCTGGGGCCTGCAGCCAAAGCCAAGGAGTTCCTCTTCCACAATCTGGGTGGCTGAGCTCTTCTTCTCAACAACGGTCACCTCCGAGCTCTTGGCCTTGGATTCCAAGTCCTTTAAGGCCAGCAGCACACTGCAGGACTCTTTTTCTTGGGATTTAGGGTCGAGGCGTGTGATTGGGGCTGCAGACAGGGCAGCTACCAAGGAGCACGAGCATGGGCAGTAACCCTCCCTGTTATCTTAACCCCTGCCCCACCAGCTGCAAGAGCCACAGAGCAGCTAACTGCATCTCTAATCCAGCTCCAGGGCCACAGGGCTACTCTTGACAGGGCCTGCAGGCTCACTGCAGCAGTTCTGAGGGCTCAGCTCTGGGACTCACTTCTGTGTCTTTCTCCTTATATAACACTGATTCTGCATAAAAACCTAGTCTTGGGGACCTAACCCTGTCAGTAAGTAAGGAGTGGGTGTATTTGATCACAGGCATTCTGACTTCAAAGCTTGAAATCTTAAGATATAAAGAAATGTTTATGTGAAATATTAACCTAAAATAGAATGACAGTGAATTTTAAATATAATTCCAACTTAAAGAACACATGTCTGAGAAAGTACAGAAGGGAAAAAAGCCCATGTAAAATATTAAGTATTCTGCTTTACATGGTAGGGTTGTAAATAATTACAATGTATTTCTTCGTTCTATAATGGACATGCATGATTTTTATAACTGGAAAGTTAAGTCCATTTTAAGGGGCTATTCTTTATGAGACTTAATCACTATATATCAATGCTTATCTTAAAATGCTCTAGAGTAAGTAATCTTAGGATGATATCTACAAATGCAAAATTACACAAAGCATTGGGCCACTGTGGTAAGATTTCAACACATGGCAATGTTTGTGGCCTCTGTTGAATTCTTTGCATTCTTTTGCCTTGAGAACACAAAGCCTCCCAATTAGCTTGAGTGTACATATCAGCTGTATGATGCATTTTATATAACAGGATTTCCTGTCAGAATGAAGAGAAATCATCAAAAAGGTTGTCAATTCACTGGTATATAATTTATTTCTTTCCTGACTTCAAGCGAATGAGTATAAGGATTGGCAACTCTCTGAGGAAGTTGTTCATTTTTAATTTTTTTTCTACTCCATGGTTTTACTATAATCTTTGTAATATAAGACTTTTTATATGATTCAACATATCTTCTAAGTGTTACTGTTAGCTTGTGCGGATCAGTTAACTTTTCCCCTACTCCCAATTAAAGGGAACAATTTGGCCTTTGGCAGTGAAATGTGACTTCTCAGATATTATCAAGTATTATGTCAAGACATGGTTTCTGAACTCCCACGCCTGTTAGGGAAGAACGCATGTGTTCAGCAATCAGCAGTTCAGACTGAAGCAGCCCGTTTCTGTCATTTTATACAATGTGCTCTGCAAGCGCACAGGTCGCTGAAGCAGAAAGGCATCAAGAGGCAATCTCTTACTTGGTGAGTGGTTGGTTAGAGAGCAACTGCTTGAGATGCTGGGACAAGAGCTTCTTTTCTAGAGATAATCTTATCCATGCCCGGGCTCGTCCGACATCTGTCTTGATCTCACTCATGTTCTGAATGTGCCTAGAGAACAGAAGTGACAGTAAAGATGTAAATCCTAAGGTTAATCATAAACTAAAACCAACCAGGGTTCTAGGACCTGGTAGCAGAGACCTTTTCTCCTTAACAGCAGCAGTGGATAATAGAAATTTATGCAGATGAAACCTTCAGAAGATTATGTCTTAATCAAATTAAATTATGTTTTGCCCCACAAGTATATAAGCAAAGTTCTAAGATAAGCATGTAACACACATTCTTTCAAGTTTTGTTAAGCATCTTCAAGTTAGAAATGACAAACAGCCGACCACACCAGCGTGTTTTCAGAGACTGTCAACCCTTGGGAAGGAGACTGACTGCTCATCTTTCTCCCTGTGCATAGATGGTGGATTTGAACCACTTGCCTTTGGATTGGCAGCCACTAGGCCACCAGAGCTCCCTCTTTCAAGCTTTAGGTCCCTATTATTAGCCCACTGACATTTCTGTAAGCTAACACCTAACTGATGATAAGGAAAATAAAAATAAAACAATAAAAAAATAAAGTAGGCTGGATACTGAAATTCTTACTCAAAGTACTTGTTCTATAGTTAAGTATCTGCTACACTTTAAAGCAATGAAATATCTTCCAAGTAATCCTAGCCAATACATGGACAATATGAAATCATACAGCCTGGGCCAATCAATGGAGAGGACAAGCTTCACTACTGCATTGGTAAATTAAATATTGCTAAACATTACAAACACTGAGAAAGTTGTCTGGCTATTAAAAACAAAACAAAACCAATCACCCCCAAAACAGTATGGCTGAACTCTCTTGAATGTTATAAATAGGTAGAAATTTCTATGCTGTGCAAATGTGTAGATGTCAGTGTTATAGCCAGCAAAAACAAATGTTATCTTTCTAAATGATTTTTAAAAATTTTCCTCCTAAAGGAAAAGGAACAGGCAAGAAGGGCAGGGATGATTGTAAAATCACTACAGTGAGTCACACAGTTTTTGTGATCCACCATCCCTCTTTGGATTTTTTTTTAAAGTATCAGAAATGACTCATCCTGGCTCTACCAAATACTCCAACAACCCTTTTTCTTTGCTGATTGGGAGTATTCTGATTAAAGAACATCTTTCCTGCAAAACACATAAATTCTTCTCTGTATGTAACCCATTCTCTCATACTCTGTCTCTTCTCCAAATCTCTGGCTCTGAAAATTGAGACCATCAACCATCATTGCTGCTGTGTGATCCAACACCCTTGAGAAACAAAGCACAAAGCATTATATCACAGAGGCACACTAATGTATGGCTTAAGAGAAAGCTCAAATGAGAAGAAAAAATTCTACTGCCATTTTTTTCAGGCTTCCCCAACCACATCACACTTCTAAGGTTTTTCTGATAGAGCATGACAGACTTTCTATTTCAAAGGGCTAATACTATTACATATGATCATGTGAGGAAAAAAGCTGTATCAATCAAACATTTAACATTCAACAGTATTTATCAGAGACTTCTGTGAATAGAATGGCAGGCTTCTGGAATACCTTGAAGAATCAAAGTGTATTAATTAAAGATGAATCTACTGAGGCTTTATAATTTTTTTTTATGTATAACGGTCCCTAAGTATTCAGGAAATAAATATGCACAATATTGTCTCCTTAATATCATTCCAACATCTGATAGGATATAGCCGGAACTGCAAAGGCTAGCATTCTTCTACTTCTTAAAACTATTTAAAATGAACTAGTTTTAATCTATTTTCTCAACATCAACAACAACAACAACAACAAAAATACAACACTTCATGAAAGCTGATTTAATGGCTTCATTACCTGAAGTACTTTCTTTTAGTTTCCTATTTGATTCAATTAATCTCTGATATCCTAGATTCCTCTAAGCAGCTTTCTTGACCATGACAACCTTTGATGATCTCTGGAGTGTATGAATTTCCAGAGGGTAATTTGCCATTTATCATGGATTGAGTAGTACTTTTGTCATGCTTTCCTGCCAGATCTTTTCCTCAGCTTGACATAAGCTCTCTGAGGAACAGGAGCCCTGCACCTTCCAGGAGCCCTGCTTCCTTCCTTGTGCCTGCATAGCAACTAGTATAACGAATCTAGTAAGAACGCTAGTGATTCTGTTGCTATATAAATCTATAACATCAAAATATATGCTATAGGGGAGCTCTGGTGGCCTAGTGGCAAGGAGCTGCAACTACAATCCCAGAGGCGCACGGTTCGAATCCAACAGATGCTCTGCCGGGGAAGGAGGGATAATCTCCTCCTGTACCAGTCAGATCTGATTTGACGGTACACGCACACAAAAATAAAAAATAAAAAAATATATGCTATAAAACAATATACTTTATTAAACTTAAATCCAAATACATGAAAAATATTTGCTTTGGGTTGCACAGCAGATTATTGTAATTCTTGCTAATAAACAGCATAACTGCAAAAAGCTGAAAAATAACTGCTGTGTAATTACATAACTTCAATTTTTTTTAATTGAAATAATTTCTTAGAGGTAATTAATATAGTATTGAGCATATCATACAAGTATTACTTCCAAATTAGACTTTTAAGAAAGGATATACGTTGTAGTTGAAATGATTTCTTAATTTGATTTGTATCTAAGTCAAGTATAAAGTTTTTTTTAACTTAAAAGATACAGGCCATGGCCTTTGCAATTGCTTGTTTTGCATCAGAGAGTTGGACAATGACTAGGGAGGGTAGAAGTAGAACTGATGCCTTTGAGCTATGGTGCAGGAGAAGAGTATTGAGGGTACCATGGACTGCTAAGAAAACAAACAGGTTCTTCCTGGAGAGGGTTAAACTGGGCTGCTCCTTGGAGACAAGGATCCTGAGGCTTTGTCTAACATACTTTGGACATGTTGTAAGGAGAGACTGGTCGTTGGAGAGGGAAATCATGCTTGGGAGGGTGGAGGGATGGTGCAGGAGGGGAAGGCCCTTTATGAGGCGGATTGATTCAACGACTGGGGTAATCAGGATGGCTGTATCTGAGACAGTGTGACTGGCACAGGACAGAGCAGAGTTTAGGGCTGCTGTAGACAGGGTCACGGCACATAACAACAACAAACAAAAATATATGTGCTAAATGTGCTTATGCAAAATCTATACTTGGACCAGGAAGCAGTCCTCGGAACAGAGCAGGAAAACAATGCATGGTTCAAAATCAGGAAGGGAGTACGTCAGGGCTGCAGCCTGTCTCCATCCTTTTCATTCTATATGCAGAACAGATCATTCGGGAGTTTGGGGCTTTATGACGAAGAACGTGGCATCAGGATTGGAGGAAGACTCGTCAACAACCTACATTATGCAGATGATGCAACCCTGATTGCTGAAACTGAGGAGGACCTGAAGTGCTTGATGCAGAAGGTCAAGGACTGTAATCTTCAATATGAATTGAAGCTCAACACCAAGAAGACAAAGATTCTCACTACTGGGCTAACTGAAAGCACCATGATGGATGGCGAAGAGACTGAGGTTGTTATCAATTTTAACTTGCTTGGCTCCACAATCAACAATCTTTAACACCAGAAGTCAGTAAATAAAAAAACAAATTGCATTAGGTAAATCCACTACTGTCCAGAATACTGAAAAGCAACGCTGTTAGTCTAGAGACTAAGGCTCACCTGATCTAGGCCAGGGTCTCCACAATTACTTGCTTTGCCTCAGAGAGCTGGATAGTGACTAAGGAGGACAGATGAAGAATTGATTCCTTTGAGTTGTGGGGCTGGAGCAGAGTCTTGAACATATCATGAACCACCAAGAAAACAAATAGGTCTGTCTTGAAAAGGGTAAAACCAAGTTTCTCCTTGGAGGCTAGGATTTTGAAGCTCCATTTCACATACTTTGGGCATGCAGACAGGAGGGGCCAATCCTTAGAAAAGGCCATCAAGCTCAGAAGGGTGGAGGGACAGTGAAAGAGAGAAAGACCTCAGATAAAATGGATTGATACAGTAACTAGGGCAATGTGGCGGGGTGGGGGCGGGGGAAGGGGTAGGTGTATTGGAGTCAGTGGGACTGGCTGAGGACAGGGCAGGCTTCAGATCTGCTGTACACAGGGTCGGTATGGATTGCAGGCAACTTCACGGCACACAACAAGAATTACAATGATCACAAGCACCTTTTAAATAGAACATATTATACATTAATGCTGAGAAAACAAGGTGACTAAGTAATCCAATCAAAGTCACAGAAATAATACAAAGACATGCCATCTATTTTTTAAATCAATTCTTCTTTTCCCAGTTCTCACACTCTCTTCTCAGAGAAGATTCTTGTTCACAAACCCAGAAGAAAAACTCTTAAGTATCACCATAACCTCAAAGGGCAAGGCTCCACTTCAGATAAAAAAAATCCCGGTTCAGATGGCTTCCTCAGTCAATTCCATCAGACATTTAGAGAAGACCTGATGCCAATTTTACTCAAACTACTTTAGAATTCTATGAAACAAGCATAATTTTGATAACAAAGCTAGATAAGGACATAATTAAAAATTACAGACCAATATCGCTCATGGACATAGATGCAGAAAAATCTCAGTAAAATCCTAGCCAATAGAATCCAACATCAAGTAAAATAAAGAATTCATTGTGACCTAGTGTGGTTCATACTAGTCACGCAAAGATGGTTGGAAAGTTGGGACTGGAAACACCATCTGACCCAGCAAGCCCACTGTAAGATATAGATCTCAAAGAAATCCACGTTCATGACAGCATTATTTATAAAACAACAAGACGGAAACCACCAAGTGTTGATCAAGGATTTGAATGAATGAAGAAGCTATAATATATGCACACAATGAGGTATTATGCAACACATTAAAAACAACAACAAAGAATTCTGGAAAACACTGTTAACGAGGATGCTATAGTCAGTGAGATTCACCAGTCATAAACGGCAAATACTGTATAAGATGATTGTTACAAAAAGTGAAGGAAAAGTTTACAAACAGCTAGAATGATACCTGGGTGAGCACCAGGGTTAGAAAGGGAGGAGGAAGAGGGAAGT